CCCTTTCTACCTCTTCTCCAGTTTCTCCCTAGCTTCCCAATGCACATTTTGGAGTCAATGAATCAACAGAAGAGAGCAATGGGACAGATATTCTGCAAATATCTATACATTTAACTCCAAAGTACATGACATGACCAATAGCTTTATCTTCTCAACCCTATTTTTCTTAGGCTAGCCTAAAAAATACACTCCTGAGCATATTCTGGTTGGGTGGTGGTGGAATGTGGCCAAGAGCATGCAAGGCACAGAGGGGAAGTAGTCCAAAAAATCCTGCTACTGATAATTCATCAACAAGGTAATCACCGTGTAGGGAATAAAGAGTTATGCACATATATTGAATGTGTTGACAACGGAGGAAAAAGTGGTTAATGAATAAATGTTGTTTTTCAAGACTTCGGGAAGGGGAGTTGTTACTGGGTAAAGGACAGTTTTATGCCTTGATCAGAGATATTTCCACATTATAGTTTGGCTGGATTCCACTTCCTGATGTGAAACTCAAGATCTGAAATTCAAATACACTATGAAATTAAAATAACACTGTGAACCCTAAATAGTATTCCATATGTGCCAGGCCTAACTTTTCCCTACCCAAAGAGATCAAAGGCGAGGCTGTGTACATTCATTTTAACTAAAGGGTCATCAGAGGAATACATTATTATTTTTTCTAACTAGGCTTTTCCTCCAGAAGAAAAATATATCTGAATAAAACATATAAATATGACCGTAAAAGTGTACACATGGCAGTTTAAGAGATTTGCCTATATGAAGATACACCTGTCTTTGGTTTCCTTAGATGTGGAGAACAGGATGATCATAAGGCCTGCAGAAATGAATATCCACATGCTAAAGAGGTGAGGCTCCCAAAATGTCACCACCAACCCTTTCCCTAATCCACTACCCACCTACTGACCAGGAGATCTGCCTTCATTAATTTCTTGTTTCCCCCACTGAGGGCAGGGCATCGGGGGAAATACAAAGCAAGGTTATAGGATGAATGGGCTTGTAGAAACCCCTTATTGAGGAGGTGCTTCAAGGACAAGAAATGCTCTGGAGCCACTAGACCATCATCCACAGAAGTGCCAGAACGGTGCCCAGAGCCATCCTGCTGGGCTTGCAGAGATGGTCTGACATTCCTGATCCCAAGCCAATTCACTAAGGTTAATATGAAGAATAGCTTCACAGTCCCTGGCTAATGTTTACACAAAGTTTGGAATCTGAGAAAAAGGAACATTCCTTACTTGGTCTGTGGTTCAGGGGTAGACATTCATGTGGTTCATAGTAAGAGCTGCCATGCATCGAACTTTTCTCCTATGTGCCCGGCCCTCTCCCATTTCATCCTCCCAGCACCTGGAAAGGGTGGTGTCCCCACCCAACCTACCATGAGGAACTTGAGGGCAGAGAACTCACACTCACACCTAACTAATCAATGGCATCAGTGTGCCGAGTGCACTCCTCTCATTTTGTCAGCAACAACCCAAAAGGCCCATTGTGTTGCTCTCTGGACTTTACAGATAAGAGAATTAAGCCTTAGAAGGTAAAGTGACTTCCTTAGAGTGACTCAACTCATAAAAAGCAGAGATCCAGGCCCATTTGTCCTCACTGGGTGGGTGGGAAGTTTGCACAAGCAGTGGCCTGACATCGCAAGCAAGTGAGCCAGCAAAGTGGTTCCTGGGGAACGGGACACACTCCAGGCCACTCAATAGACTGTCCAGTAACTAAGACCTCACTCCAAGCAGAAAGGAAGGGGATTTAGCCTTTCTATTACTTGTGGAGAAAAACTGATTGAATCATTCCTTTTTCCATAGTGACAAAAGGCTTAAAGGTCTTTGCTCTTAGTTCTTGGAGCTTCTATTCATTGTCACATCTGAGTGCATTTTGACCTAGACTGATATAACTTTCATTTTAAAATTTGTGATTTTTTGCTTAATTTTCCTCAAGGGATTTTTTTTTGGGGGGGGAATAGGCAGGGAAGCAGAGGCTGGCCCAGGAACCTCTCACAGCTCTTTAGCACAAGTCGTGTTGCTGAACAAGAAAGTTCAGTCAAGCTGCAGTCTGTGAAGGTGCACACTTGCTGCCCTGTCCTGGAGAGAACCATAGGGCCACCAGGGGTGGAAGGGAGGCATTCCATGCCCTGCCTGCCACTGAGCAGTCCTCAGAATGAGAGCTGGGGAGTCTCCTAGGCTCATCCAGACTTCCCAAAACACAAGAACAACAGCAGAAAAATCCAGGACCAATCACAATGATTGGTTTCTTCCTCACTGCACATATCCCCTCCTACTTTCTCCTTGCAGTTCATCCTCCTCCCCACTTGCTTTCTTCCTCTGTCACCCCACAGGCAGGAAGATCAAAAACCTCATCATAATCACCTGCTGAGCTTCTACAACCATCAAACCCCTTTTAGGACCCCCTGGGGGAAGCCACTGACCTGTGGCCACCTGGCCTTTGCCTGGGAGCACTTCAATAGGCTAATGGGATTGCAAAGCCCTCAGGAAGTGTTGGTGGTTGAGGCTGGATGTAATTACCAGCTTTGTAACCCTTAGAGGAGGATCAGGGGTGGCTCCGTAGCTGGGCCTGATTTTACTAATGCCACTTTCCTCCTCCAGTATTTTTTTGTTTGTATTTTGTTTAAAAGTTAATATTTACTAAGCTCTTACTATATGCCAGGAACTATTTCAAGTGCTTGGCATGAATTAACTCAATTATCATAAAAATTATCTTACCTATTAGGTAAGAACGACTAATATTTCCAATAAATAAATAAATAAATAGCACCCAAGGTTATTCTTGCCTTCAGACAAGTTGGGAATCACTTTGTAATGACCTGAAGTTTGGTGCTGTGTAATGGGCCTCTTCTGAAAAGCCACCTAGGGAGCCTGTGTTGCCCCTTCCATGGTTCTAGGGAAGGTCCCACACTCTGGGGAAATTCTGGTGGCACCAGGGGCAGCAGGGAGTCCTCAAGAGCACTGGAGTGACAGATAGACCTAGGTCTTTTCTCACTGTTTAGTTATCCTCAGGAACCAAGAGTCTGGGGGAAGGGGTCTGCTCTTGGGTGCCTTCGCCTTAAGTTCCTCTCTTACTGCTCAGAGCATCTTCTACCTTCTAATAATTCTAGATAACATGAAGCCCAGACCTGACCCTGACCTGGCTCATTGGCAGGTGTGATAAGCCCTTAAATGAAGAGGTTCCCTGGGAATTTGAGGTCAAGAATTCAAAAAATACCTAGGATGTGCTCCCTGATTCTGAGTATCTCCAACCTTGCCATTCAGCCAGAGATGGACACGTTAGCAGGTAACTCAACTCTAACATGGAAAGGGTCTAAGAGAAGTGTGAAGAGAAGGCCAGGGAAGCAAAGAGGAGTGAATGGCTAAACCTTTGTGGAAGCAGAGTTGACATCTGAGAGTTGTCTTAAAGAATGAATGAATAAAAGCTTAACAGATGGGGAAGGAAAAGTCATTTCAGGCTTTTCTGCCTTATGTTTCTTCTTTTAGGGACCCCCCCGCCCCGACTTTATTGTAATCCTGCTCAGTCCATAAGATTCATATGAAGCTAACTCTGCTTCCCTTTTCCTGTGGTGGGCATATGACCCAGAACCCCATCACCATACACAATTCCCCAAAGGACTCAGGGACAGGTAGAGTAGCCAGGCCAATCAGAGAACTGTCTAGAAGGAATGCTTACACTCTGGGAGAGCCACTCCCATTTCTTGCAGAATTTTTGGTATAAAGATGACCACAGAGGGCTGTAAACTGCTGACAGGTTACCAAATAAAGAGGCCCTGGCCAAGATAAAAGAAGACAGAAGCAAGCAGCAATGTGAGATGAAAGGACATGAGGGTCTCATGGTGTCATTCAATTTTTGATCCCCTGAACTTCCAAGTTATGTCAACCAATAATTCTCTCTCTCTCTCTTTCTCTCTCTCTCTCTCTCTCTCTCTCTCTCTCTCTCTCTCCCTCTCTCTCTCTCTTTCTTAAAAGCAAAATTATTCTAATTAATAAATGGGCAGAGAAACAGCATTTACAAAGGGAGGAATCTGAAGAGGTCAGGATATGCCTGACAGTGGTGAAAAGGCCAGATCAGAGCCAGAAGGTGTGTGAGTGAGTAGTTGCTGGGAAGATGGACTGGGCAGGTTTGGAAAGACTTTTGTTCCTTGGGGACAGAGTCATTAGGATTTTAAGCGTGAAAGTGATGCTAGCAGATGTGTGTTTGGAATGTAGATCTGGTGCCAGTGTGGACAAATGCCTGAGCCAGAAGAGACCCTGGAGTCCAGGAGGAAGCAATCAGAAATGGCTGGTGGACAGATGACAAGGCCTCTGGTACTCAGAGAGCCTGGAAAGTAAGAGGTGGAGTTGAAAGATTTTTAGAAAATAGAGTAGACAAAGCTCAGTGTGATACTGTGATTTGTAATAAGAAAGAGATATTTGGGTTTTGTTCTTGTTTCTGGCACAGAGCTCCTAAAACCCTTAAAACTTTTTATGTGATGAGCATGAAAAAGGTATCTTTGTTATATTAATGGTGACTTTTGGAAAGCACCTAAAAAATGGGGGCTGGCTACCAGAAAAATCACCCTCTTCTGCACACCACCCCCACTCTTGGGGGGCAGAAGGGCTGGAGACTGAATTCAATCACCAAAGCCAAGTGATTTGATTGATCATGCCCATGTAATAAAGCCTCCATAAAAATCCAAAAGGATGTGGCTCAAGGGGCTTCCAGGCAGGAAAGATAGCTGATAGGGCAGTAGGAAGGGAAGTGGAGGTTTACCTCACCCACTGAACAAAGAAGTCAGCAGTCTTGGGACTTGCCAAGATAAAATCACCAGACAGTCTCATAAATTCTGGGAATAATGTAAAAGGGGGACCTTGAAATCTATTATGCTGCCCAAGATATCCAACAGAGGAACCTTGAAGACTAGAGGAGAAAAAGGTATAAAACCCTCAAACCCCTACCAGTTGGGGTGCTCAGACTAGCTGAGTTACCGCTTGTGCTTTATGCCAAGTGTACTCTTTTTTTTTTTTTATCCAAAATGTGCTTATTGGGATGGTTTCCCACTCATCTTGATTTGAGGTGCGTTTAGTGCTGCTTCCTTTTGAAGGAGCATCCTTCTGTAAGCCTTGCTTTTCCTCCTGTTGGCTGACAGAGAACAGTGGAGCAACCAACGCACAAAACTACCGTTTGTGCATGGCTAAAGACGGTGGTGATTTTGTAGCATCCTGGGCACTTGACGTCCATGAAGTAGGAGTTGGGGCTCTGCACCAGGTGCTTCTTCTTGTGCTTCCTCTTCTCCTCCTCCGGGGAGGGGTGCAGGAGGTCCTTGGCAAGAGGCATGTCGTCGCGGGGAGGCCGTCACCGCCGGAAGCCAAGTGTACTCTTAATACACTTGCTTGCTTTGCTTCAACACTGCTTTCTGTCATGTGATCTGAATTCTTTCTCACGAGCAATGACAAGAACCAAGGAAGGGAGAGGCCCCTCTGATTTGGGTGATTCTCCAGTAACATTCCCACATATTTTGCATCTCTTCCACCTGGCTGTCTGAGATGTATCCTTTAATAATAAACCAGTAACCTGGCAAGTTTACCTGAGTTCTGTAAGCTGCTTGAGCAAATTAATCAAATCCATGAAGGGGATCATGAAAACCTCTAATCTATAGCCAGTCAAACAACCTGGATTTGTGATTGGTGTTTGAAGTTGGAGGGTGGGCAGTGTTATGGGACTGAATCCTTCATCTGTGGGGTGTGATACAATCTCCAGGTAGATAGTGTCAGAACTAGGTTGAATTGTAGGACATGCAGCTGGTATTTGAGAATTGCTTATTGGAGTAAGAGGAAATACCTATGCATTGGAATTGGGTTCAGAATTATCCTTGGAACTGGACATGATAAAGGCAGTAGATGGGGTCAGAAGAATAGGCTCTGAATTCAGGTGCACCAAGATCTGGGTCTTGTCTAACAGCTGCGGGATGCTTATTTAAGCACTCTAAACCTCAGCTTCTGCATCCGTAAAATGTGACAATAATAGTGCACACTTCATGGAGTAATTGTGAAGATTAAATGAGCTAATGTATGTGTGGACCTGAGAAGAAAGGATCATTTGATGTGAATCCTGAGAAGGAAATTATCTGCTGAGGTGGATTCCCCATGGTCAACTGAGGACCGGAATTTTATAAGTAATAGTGTTACCATTGTAACTAGGTAGTTGTTAATAATAGGAAAGGAGCAAAAGGGAGGTCAGACATTATAAGCATTATAACCAGGAAGCTGCAACCTTACACTCCCCAGGGAACCACCGGTTCATTCCCTGCAAATCACTGGGGGAAGGGTCAACAAAGGAGAAATGGATGCATGTGCAGTGAAGTTGGGGTGATGCAGGGAAGGTGCTGGTCAGTCTAACCCAGGAACAAAGATAATTGGCCAGAGGAGGCAAAGACACTGTAAGCACGTGAAATACTAGAAGGTTAAAATCCCCAGACAAAGGAATTCTCTCTGGTTCCTCTCTCATTCCCCTAATTTTGCTCCTACTTCCTTGCATTTGCCCATGTTTCTAGAAGCCACATGTACCCCACAAGCAATGGACAGATGGACTACAGCTGGGAACACAAGCTAAGCTAGCCTGATGCTGAATTGGGCTTTGCAAATACGGAATGGACTCTGTGAGCAACGGCTTTAATCCTAGCTCTGCTAAGGGCACAGCTATACTTCTTCCACAGTGGGATGGAGGGAGAGGGAACCTTGGAAACCCAGGGCTTTAATTCCACAGAAATAAAGCCATCTTCAATATCTCATCCTACTGTGTAAGTCTCAGAAAACTCCTTTTCTCATGATATCTCAGGAAGCCCACTTCCCCCAGCAGCAGACAGGGACATGGAGAGCTCACCCTGATAACAAGAGAGCCTGGCAGCGGCTTCTCACATACTCTATAGACTGGGAAGAACATCAGACTGAATTCTCAGCTTCCCATACTATGTCCTGCTCTTTAAGCTGGCTAAGTCAACTATTATAAGGGAGTTTCTGGTTTCATCTTCCTACCAATGGACTACAGCCTGCATTGTCCAATCAGAACTGCTTCATAACGACCAATCAGGGCACATAATGCCCAACTGTGTGACTCAGGCCAATTTACATAAAAGGGACCTAACTGGGAACTTTTGCTGGAAAAGACAGCCTCCCCTCTGTCTCCACGGAACACAATTTAGATTGCTACCTGATCTGTGTTTCCTGGGTTGCAAGTCTTTTTGCCCAAATAAATGCTTTTTAAAAATTCTTTGTTATAATCTACAATTAATTTTGATTTACATATGTAAAAGCAATGAACCTAGGCCTTGGTACAAAGTAACACTCAGTAAGTCATAGCTGTTTTGGGGGACGGGAAGAAGAATGATAAGGAAGGATGATACTAAAATCTCCAGTTTGAGAATTTGGAAAAATGCTGAGGACAGTAATTAGCACAGGAGAACATAAATTTGTTTTTGGACATGTTGACCCTAATGTGCCTACAAAACCTAGGGTGAGAGTGTCCAGCAAGCAGTGGGACCTCAAACTTGAGGTTTGGTAGACACTGGCCAGTGACGGTCACTGAAGCAATGGCAGAGCGGAGAGGGTTGAGGACAGATATAGGCACCTCATGGGCTGCAAGGAAGGAGGAGTCAGGGAGCTGTGTGGAGGCAGGAGATGTGAAGAGGGAACTGCTTTAAGTGTGGATAAGCTGTTAGAGAACAGGATTCATCTCTGTTTGGGGGCTCTGGGAATTCTTATTTCTCCTGGGGAAAATGAGAGCTGAAACCCAAGACCACTTGACTTGCTGAGATATCTCTGGGCTCATCCACAGGGCTGTCTTTAAGGGGCCCAGTGTGGCCCTTAGGTGGCTTGCTGCCCCTTACCTCCAGGTATTGATTAGCCAGGTGTAGGGCACGATCAGTGGTGTTAAATATGTCTCTCCAGTCGAAGTTGGCCATGTCATCAGCCCGATT